CATCTTGGGCCCTGTACAATCTACATCCTGCAGCGTATGGTTAATGGGATGAACCTATCTAACAATAGCAGGAGGCTTTCATTTTCTCAGTCCAAACCATTCCCATAATGCTTAATGAAGTTTAAAATGTCTCTTGACATGTTGAGACCTTACCTTCCAGCAGTTCCTAGCTGTTTTCGGTGTAAGTGTATGCTGTATACAAACTGCCAAAGAGCAAGCTTTTGTCAGCCTTTTCCACCAACGAGCCAGGCCACATCTCAACTCAGTTGTTCATGTGAACACAATGACTGGCTTACAGCTGTGCTGTGCCTACCATAACTGTGAAATTACCAGGTGATGACAACAGGAAAGTACACAGTGTTCCCTCCCCCCTTCTCAGTGCTGGAAACGGAAAGAATGCAGGAGCGCCGGCGGACAGTACCCAATAGGAAAGGTTCCGAGCAAACTAAACTCCAGACACCCGATGCTCCCTAGCAAAGATCTGACAGTCCTTAGTGTTTATGAATCTCTTCTCCATAGAAAACAAGCAGGGCATGGTGGCAAATGCCTGTGACCCTGAGCAAGATAAAGATGAAGACAATAAAGGGACATGGAAGGGAATGGAGCCCCTCACTTTCCTCCGTTGGAAGTCTTTCATCTACTCCTAGTCAGACATGTTGACATCATTGTGAAGTCTACATATTTTGAAACAACAGTCCTTTTTAACAGAGACATTTCAAATAGGAATGTTAAACCAGGGGCTGGGGATCAGGAGTACTTGTTGCTCTTGCAGAGAAACTGGGTTCAGTTCCCAGCACCCACATGGTGGCTAACAGTCATTTGTAACTCCAGTTCCAGGGGATTCCACACCCTCTTGGTCTTTGTGGGCACTGCACACATGCGGTACACCAACATATATGCAGGCAAAACACTCCTACACATAAAATAAAAATAAATCTTAAAGAAAAAAAAAGAATATTAAGGGCCAAAGCTAAAGTTCAGCAGTTCAGAAGAGCGCTTGCTGTTCTTCCAGAGTTTAATTCCCAGGACCCATGCCAAGCAGCTCTAAGAGGTCTCCCATCTCCCATCTTGGTAATGAAGCAGAATTTCCCGAACAGTTTTTTAAAGATTTGTTTTTATTTTTAATTATGTGTATGTGGGGTGGGCATGTACATATGAGTGCAGGAGCCTGTAGAGTCCAGAGGTGTCGGACCAGTGGCGCTTTGAAGTCCCCAACACCCCTGCTGGGCACTGAACTAGGTTTCTCTGCAAGAACACCACTTCCTCTTAACCACTGAGCCAGCTCTCCAGCCCTAACTCATCAGTGGATTGTGAGACCTCAAGGGAGTGGAAGGTGAATGGTTAATTGTAGGAAGACAGGCTGGGGCCCTGCCACTGCAAAGGAAACCTGTCAGAACTGCAGAGATGTACAATCCCAGCACATGGGAAGCTAGGCAAGAAGGATGACAAGGGTTCAAGGCCAGCCTGGGCTTCCAGGGTGAGACCCGATTGGAACGTGGGGTGACAATGGCCAGCTAGTGTCTTGGAGCAACTCTTCTACCTATCTTAGGAAGAAAGTCCTGACAGCTGTGAACAAAACAGTTTGGGACAGAGGGAGAAAATCTTTAGAATCAAGGAATCAGTGAAAACAATCCCAAGGAGAAGCCACCTGGACTTGACGTTGGGCTGTGAAATTGAGTGGAAAGGCAGAGCAACGGCCAACTATCGGCACCTGTCAGCATGCGGGGAAGCCCTGAGGAAGAAGAGGCAACAGCACCAAGCTTTCAAGTCTTGATGACACAGAACAAGGGTCAAGGGTGGTTTGGGTTCTAGAGATGTTACATTTAAGGGAACACTGAGAGGGAAATGAAGTCCAACTTAAAGGAGACGTGGGAATTGCAGTTCAAGTTACATGGTAACTGGTGCAGAGGAGGTTTAAGTAATGAAGGTACAACAGCACCAAACACTAAACTTGGGGACACCGTGAACTTTTCGGGGAAAGAACCTATGAAAGACCTCAGAAGGGTCCCAAGGAACAACCAGAGGGTGTGCTGACAAGCAATATGAAGTACCGTGACGATTACTGAGCACCAGGCTGGAGAGATGGCTCAGTGGTTAAGAACACTGGTTGCTCTTTCAGAGGACCTGGGTTCAATTCCCAGCAACCACCTAGCGGCTCACAACTGCCTGAAACTCCAGTTCCAGGGGATCCGGACTCTACAGACACTGTATGCACAAGTCTACACAGACATACGTGCAGATAGAATACACATAAAATAAAAATTAATTAACTTTAAAAAAGATTACTACTGAGGGCTAATCCAGGTGAGTGTTGAGGTGGAGCCTGTCAGATTCAGCAACCTGTACAGGTAAAAAAGTCTTCAAAGCAGAGTCTTTTCAAATGTGAGCAGAGCAATCCAAACCTTATATATACATTCCAAAGAATGAAAACAGAAACACTGTATTCATCAGTTCATCAGAGTAACGAAACTTTTAGAGTGAATCTGTGTGTGTGCGTGTGTTGCGCGCGCGCGCGCGCACACACACACACACACACACACACACACACACACACACATGAATGTAGGGGATTTATTTACAGGCTGTGGTCCAGCTAGTCCAACAATGACTGTCTATGCCAGTTGTTCAGTCCATGAGGCTGGATGTCTCAGCTGGTCTTCAGTATATTCCAGAATCCCAAAGAAGCACGCTCTAATGCCAATGAAGGAATGGACTTGCTAGTGAGGGCAAGAGCAAGCAGGAAAAGAGAGGCCTACTCCTTCTATGTCCTTTATATAGGATGCCAGCAGAAGGTATGGCCCAGATTAAAGGTAGATCTTCCCACCCCAAAATATCTGGACTAAAGGTGTGTCTTCCTTCCTCAAAGATCCAGATTAGAAGTGGGTCTCCCCACTTCAAATGATTTAATTAAGCAAAAGTCCCTCACAGGTGTGCCCAAACATTTTAGGTTTTAGTTAATTCCTGATGTAGTCTAGTTGACAACCAAGAATAGCCATCACAGAGACTCCAACAGATACACGTAAAGATGAAAGGAAAGGCAGTAGAATTCCACTTAACAATGAAGTATCCAAACCAGGTAAATTCATAGAGACAAGAGGGGCAGAGGTCCTTGCCCTATAGGTACAGTGTCTGTCTTGAGTGATATAAATATTTTGGAAATATATGGTGCTGACTGTAACACAGCATTGTGAATGTACTTGATGCCATTCAATTACACTACGAAAATTAAAATAATAATCTTCATGTTACGTATAATTTGCAAGAAAAAATAGCAATATGAAACTGTGACAAAAAAAAAAATCCTTGCAAGAAACAGCACAGAAATGTTAGAAATTTAAATAAAGTTGCAGGGCCATTGTCCAAAATGAAAAACACGTACTACCGTTTGCTGACATTTCACTTGCAGAGCTCTGTGGCACACACACCCTGCGAGTAAGAAAGGGTTATTTCCTATTTTTTCTTAAAGCAGTATTTCAAATTTAAAAAAAAATAAGTTTTTGTGTCTTTGTTTTTTGTTTTTCAAATCAGAACTACTCCCGTTATGTGAAGTAACTATTTTGGTGGCTGCAGAGATTGAAAAGCATCCCCAGAGTCTCATTTTTTTTTCTGAAGATAAGCAACTAAGCAACCAAGCAAGCAACCAACCCGACCACGATGGCTCTCGTAGACCAAACCTTCGATGGGAAGTGAAACTAGTCCATCATGAGCACCCTAATATCCATCAAAGGGAGAGATCTAGCAGCAAGGGGGCGGGGCCTACTGTTTTTCATATTTATCCAAAACCCATTGGTTTGGGGTGTATGGAAACTATACGAGACAATTTCTTTAACAAGCATATTGAAAAAAATATATAAAGAAGAAACAAGCAAACAAGCATCCTGTCTGTCTTCCAGCCTCACGGGTGGACGCGGTCTAAATCCCGACCCGCAAAGACCGACTAACAGCAATAATGATTAAAATCAGCGTCTTCCTGGTAAATCGCAACACCGCCTGGAAGTTACGGCCGCCGAGAACTCGGCCCGGCGCAGCGCCCATCCGTGCAGCTGAAACCGGAAGCAGCTGGGGCCGCCCGGGCCACCGAGCCTGCGACAGCAGCCGCAGCGCTTCAGGCCGCAGCCCACGCTCAGGCGCCGCCGACGGAGG